AGTCCGGCTCCCCCGTCGATTAGTACTTTTGTGACAGTCATACCGGCAATAGTTGGATCTAGAACCAGTGGGTAATGGCCCGCGTTTCCTACGTTAGTCCATTGGTCTTCTCTTGAAAATTGGATTGGATATTGTGATCAATTGAGATATCTTGGAGTAGCCGGTTCTGCTGCCATGATGGTTCGTAGAGCTAGCTTTTTTGATGTTTGCTTCTAGAATCTAGGGCTCCAGCGAAGATCACTGCTACTGTCCCCTGGATTTTTGAAATCCCTTGTCTTCGTGGTTGTCTTCGTCTTTTTTCTGATTGTCTTCTTTTGTGTTTCCCTTACTATCTTTTCTTATGTATCGATCATTGAAGGTGAAGCAGTTTCCGATGGTATGATTTCCTTTAGGGTGCCAGATGCACTGCATGTTTTCAATGTCATCGTATCTTCTGGGTTAGGAAAACTTCCTTGATTTGTCAGCCACCGCTACGGTGTTGTCTGATCCACGTTTCCTTTCCTGATGTCTGCTGTTTCGGTGATTTTGTTTGTCCAGATTGTCTTGGTTGTTTCTATCCGGAAATCTTTCTCGTGTCTTCTCCTCTGCAGTAATCATCTTTTCTACTGTGCGTCTGAATTCTTCATTGTTTCTTGGGTTCTCTTTGCAGAAGTCCTGAAATTGCCACATAGCCATGATTCCATGAGAGAAAGCTTCGATTACTTCTCGTTCGGTGATGTCATGTACTTGAGCACGTAGTTCGCCGAATCGTCGATAGTAATCTCTGAGACTTTCGTCCCCTTTCTGTTTGAGTCCTTTTAATTCTGCGTGGGTGATGGGGTGTGTAATGATACCCGCGAAATTTTCACAGAAAACTCTTTGCAAGTCCTCCCAATTTCTGATTGATCCTGGATTCAATTTGTCGAACCATTGGAGGGGCATGGTTTCTAGGGCCATGAGAAAGAACAAGGTCTTGATATCGTCGTCTCCTCTGGCTAGTTCAATCGATTGCGAGTAAATCCTGAGCCGCTGCCTTGGTTCGGTCTTGCCATCATACTTAGAGTGGTTGGACGGCTTGAACTTGTGAGGTAGTTGTTTTGAAGCAAGTCTATTTGTAAAACAGGGGAATCTATCGTGCGTTCCGGCTTCTTTGTATTCTGATTCAGCACCTCCTTCCAGCTAACTATTGTTTTGGCGAGAGTAGTTCTGTGAGGCTGTCTGAATGGGCACTTCGCTTCTGATCCTTGGTTGTTCGACTCGATAGTTTTGACTGTTGTCCCTTCTACTTTCTCTGTTGTGACTCCCACTTGGTCCAAGTCTCTCGAAAGCGGACTTCCTTTGATTTTGATCTTCCTTCCTATGAGATGTCGACCTAGCAGGTAATCTTGATCGGTTTCTTACGTCGTGCGTCCTTAGGGCTGCTGTCCGGAGGAGGTCCCGGAGTTGTTCCTGTTGTTCACTGGGATGTGAGGTCGCTCTGAGTTCTTCTAATGCTTCTCGGATCCTATTGTAGGGTGTGTTCGTTGCGCGTCTTTCTTCGGCTTCTTGTTCTGATTTTCTTCTGTTGTACTCGGCCAGATCTGACTCATATCTGATCCAAGCTTCCTTGCGCTGCCTAGCACATCGTTGGCGTCCTTGTTTCAATTTGTTTCTTCTTTCTCTGGCTTGCCTCTGATTCTCGGTCTCACCATCGTAGCCCTGGGCGAAGGGTGATATGTTGGACTCAGATTCATCCGATGACCTGATGCCGGACGCTTCTGGGGGGATCAATGGTGATCGAGGACGGCGAACCATGAGTACTCCCGTGCGTGAACTGTTCTGTTATCGGCGTTGGTTTCCATATGGTCGGAGTTGCTGATAACTTTAGTAGAGTCTTCAAGGTCGTAGATCGAGTCTCCTTCTTGGTAGGGTAGAATTGTTGTTGTCGTCGTGCCGACTAGTCGGGTACTGCTATTCTCAGGAACAGAACCTGGCCAGTGGACGATGCAGTCTTGAGATGTTATAGTTAGTATGAGACCTTCCTGAGCTCCTTTCAGTGGCATTCTAAGCATCGGATCGAGGGATCCTTCGAGCCGTGCCTGATAAGACTTTGCCATGTTGTGGAGTCCGAACAGAAAAAGACCCAACTTCTTGAAAGGACTCTGAGTGTACTCCGAGTTGTATTCTTGATATGTCGAGACCGTGTTCTGGAGCCCCACCGGAAAAGAACTCGATTTCTCGAAAGAACCCGGGTAAGACTCCATCTCGGATGCGGAGCCTGAGTTCGAATCGGATGCGTAAAGCTATGAAATCTGAGTTGGATCGGACATCACGAGCTACGCGAATCTTCCGGTGAGTTGATCTGTCGTAGTCGCCGAAATAGAAAAGTCTTTATGGTGAACCGAATCTTTGAGGAGATGGCTTTGGAGCTTGCCATCGTCGCCTGCCTCGTAGATCCATGAACCGAAAATGAAGGTTGATCCCGTTGAGAAGATCATGTTGTCGAGGTCCGTCGAGCTCTCGGATGCAAATTCGCCAAAAGTCCCTACCTGGCGCGCCAGCTGTCGATGTTTCACCACCGATAGCCTACCACGGGGGTCCCCGGGGCAGTTTGTTCAGGCTTCAGCATATGCAGAACTCGACGGTTAACGCGAGAGACAGTCGATTTATCCTGGTTCGGACCCTCGATCGTTGATCGAGTAATAGCCCTACGTCCAGTCGGCGTTAACCTTTGCGTTGGATTGATTGTTCAGGGTTGTGTTGTTAGTCTCTAGGAACCCCACCCTCCTTTATATAGTCAGGAGGTCAGAGTCCTAGTCGGTTTACAATGAGAGTTTCTAGTAGGATTACAGAATAATACTACTACTAAGATTACATGAAAAGAAACCTAGTTAGACTAGATCTTCTCTCTTCCTTGCGGGGTATCCTGTGGGTCCCGCATCGACACCGATAATCAGTGGCGTCAGCAATAGGTGGTCCATCAGTAGAGAGCTTGGCATTAGTATCAATCGGAGTGGAACATGGTTTGCAATCAGTCATACCAGCACGACCCAAGAGCTCAAGTATGTAGCTAGTGGAGCTTCGAGAGACAGTCGTGCCAAGGAAATGATGCAAATGCCCAAGATCCTTCATAGAAAATTCTGTTGTAAGAGAACTCACAATGCTGTGGAGAAGAGCCCTAGAAGATGTAGTCAATATAATATCATCGACATAAAGAAGTAAGTATGCCATATCGGAGCCTCGCCCCAAAATGAAAAGAGAGGTGTCCGACTTTGCCTCCAGAAATCCAATAGAACGAATGAATGAAGCAAATCTGTTGTACCAAGCTCGGGGTGCCTATTTCAAGCCGTAGAGAGACTTATTAAGGCGACACACATAATTGGGCTTCGATGAATCAACAAACCCAGATGGTTGTGCACAATAGACCGTCTCTTCCAAAGTACCATGGAGGAAAGCATTCTTCACATCTACTTGATGGATAGCCCAATTCTGAGAGACAACCAAAGAGAGCATTGTGCATATAGTGGCTGGCTTAACAACAGGACTGAAAGTTTCACCAAAATCAAGACTAGGGCGGTGGGTAAAACCACGAAGGACCCATCGAGCTTTGTAATGGTCGAGGGTGCCATCCGGATGTAATTTGTGTCGAAAAACCCACTTGCCTGTAACAATATTAATGCCGGGTGGAGGAGGAACAAGATCCCAAGTGTGATTGGCCTGGAGAGCGGTGAATTCCCCCTGCATAGCATCACACCAATTCGGATCGGCCAAAGCACCGCGATAAGTCTTCGGAATAGGAGACAATGTGATGGCCTGCAAGTTGATTAATGGAAAGTGAGTTGAGTTATTCCTCCAATAATTAGTGGTGGATAATAATGGATCGCAGAGCTTTGTAGATGGATTGATTAGTGGTGGATAATAGTGATCTACCGTGGCTAGTGGAAGACCAAGAAAAAATATTTGTGCGATGGTCCCATGAGGGCTGGGGCAAGACCGCATGCAGGAGGTGAGCGCAAGAGACACAAATGCTGAGGGATTGTGCTTCATAAGATGGTAGTGGGCCTCTGGTGATGACGTGGCTTAAGGAGATGCTAGAGAAATAAGCTGGTCGGGTTTTGCTTTATAAGAGTATAAAATAAGATTACTATGATTTTTTTTTCTGGCACAAGAATTAGATTGATCATCGTATGAGCGTCGGAGACCTAGGGATAATTAATTTTGTTCCTTTTTTCTAATATAGTTTATGTTCTTTTTCTAGTTTTTAGTTTTCTTTTGTATTACAACACAAACATTTATTTGGTTATTATGTATACTTTGACTGTGTATGTATGTCATCATGTGTGATTGTTATCGGCTTGAACGGTCCCCCTATGTTTAAATCCTAGCTCCGCCACTGCATGACACGTTGACCCAAGCTAAGGTCGACAGTAACAAAATGTGAAATGCACCTTCCAGCTTTTGCCGGATCCTAATTTTCTCATGCTCTCTCAACCTCTGGAAAAGCGTGAAGGCTGTACTCTGCTACAACACATGCTTGAACAGGTCTCTGGAACTTTTGTCTGAGAGCGTTCGTAGCTTCTGCAGGTGACTATGGCTTACTATGAAGCCACCAACAAAAGTGACATGGACCTAACATGCAGACATAGAAGATGAGGCTACTAGGCACCTCGGCGTGTTAGGGCAGCCCCAACGGGGGCATACGTTTCTGTTAGCCTGGGTAAAAAGGTGCTCTCCACCTAGACATGCGTGAGATGAGGATAACAGACTCCCGTCGCTGAAGAACGTGGCCTCTTTTGCTCTGCAGCATGCATGTCGCTTTCAACTCCTCTCTCCACTTTTCTCAGAGTGTATCTCTCCTGGAAAGCGTCTGTGCCAGACCAAGCCAACGACGCCTCTCCAGGCTGCTCTGTACATCTGCGAAGCTACTACCGCGTATAACATGGAAGCACTGTGCTTACGTGGATGTTGGGGGCATATATCCACCGTGGTGCATTGGGGAAGGCCTTACGGTATGCTTCGAGTTTTGGAGCATACTTTTGACATCAGAGTTTTGGAGCATACTCTATGACCCCAGCACGAGGGAGCGCAAAGATTTGATGGTCGAGCATCAATTTATTCAATTCAGTGGCACGATCACCCCCTATAGTGGCAGCCTTTTGTCTTGATCCAACCGTGGAATTTCTTGGCATCCGTTTCCCCGTGGAATCTTCAACAGGTTTTGGCATATGTTGCAGGGATAGGAAAAAAGTGATTATATTTTTCAGGCTCCTAGTAGGTCAATTCAATGTAATAAACTATAAACGTGAAACATACATTATACAATGCAGCCAAGGTAAGGCCTTTAATAAACAGATAGATAAAACCAACGACTGATGAACAGAACGAAGTCTGTAAACGCAAGGTACAAACTATCAGTTTTATTCATCAAATTTCACAGACAACCAAACTCACTTCCTAGTACCTACTGATCAACACGAAATCGTCATCATCGAGAACCCGGACCTCTTTTTGTCCCACAAAATTTTCCCGTCCAATAGCCTCAACAATCCGGACGAACTCGATCCTCTTTTCAAGAGGAAGTGGAACATATGGCAGTCTGAAGACGGGCCTTGCCACCCCGAGCTGAGCCAGAGAGGTGTTGAGAGCAATTGGATTTGGTTGGCAGAACAACCATTTCATCAGGGGCAATAGCTTCTCATTCAGCATCGCATTCTCGCCTTTGTACATGAGGCTATGCATGAGCCCAGGAACAAGGTTGCTAGTAACAGAAATGACTCCAGTAGCACCATATTTCCACCTAGAATCGTGGCATTCGTCGTCATTGCCGCTCCAAATTGTTATACCTTTGTCAGCGTAGTGCTTAATCCTCTCATGCCCAACGCATTCCTTGACACCTGCCATGTTTGTATAGCCTGAAATTGCTACAATAACTTCAGGGGGGATATCCTGGGCACTCCTGGATGGCACGTTGTAGATGATGGTCGGACCCATTGGGAGGACAGCCTCAAAATGAGAAATCATTCCTTCAGTTGAGGTCTTCCCATAGTAAGGATTGATGTGGAGAGCTGCATGCATGCCAACAGCAAATCCCTGCTCTGTTGCGTGAACAGCTTCCCTGGTTGAGTTACTTCCTGTGTTGCCTATCACTTTAATTCTAGAGCCAAAGCAGTTCACTGTATGCCCAATGAGCATGATATGTTCATCCCAGCTCATGAGGTGACCCTCTCCTGTTGTTCCTCCAACTATTACACCTTCAGCACCACCCTCTATCTGCATGTTTATGAGAGAATCATATGCTTCCAGATCGAATCTTCCATCAGGCAAATAGGGGGTTTTGACTGCTGTGATTAGTCTCAGACTTGTGATGTCATCTGTTGATGTCCTGCATCTCAGAAAGAGCACAGAGGAAGATCAGACCAAAGCAGAAGATAACTCGAATCAAAGCCTTCAAATACTTAACTCGAATCAAAGCCTTCAAATACTTGTGAGAAAACAATAAGATACACTTGACTACTGAGCTATAAAACCACAAACAGAAAAATACCAATTGCAGTTACCAAAGAATATACAGGATGCCAAAGGGCGCCTAGCTCAAACGGTTAGGTGACCCAGCGGCACTCCTCAGGTCCTGGGTTCGACTCCCCGTGGGAGCGAATTTCAGGCTGAGGTTAAAAAAATCCCCTCGTCCGTCCCCATAACCAAAGCACTGGGGCACCGCCCAATTCTCACTTGGGCGACGGAAAGCCACCGTGTAAGGGTGGGGGCGGGGTTCGGGGTTTTCTCGGCCGGTGAGAAGGTCCTTCTTCTTATTTGTAATGTCTGCTTGGGGCAGTCTTAACCCCCACCCACCCCCGCCGTCGAGTTTTTTTTAAGAATATACAGGATCGTTCATTAAGAAGAACAAACTTCAAATAGCACTCCAAGTACCATTTAATAATCAATCATATATTTATTGATATTCTTTTCTTCCAGACAAAGCAATTCACATTTTACTTTCTGACTAGATTTTTCTAGCTGCAGCGTTTTTAATCTTGCAGAGACAATTGCTAACTCAACATAATTAGGACAATTTCACAGATTAGCTTAATGAAATAACAACATATTATGTTACTCTATTGAGTAAATGATTCTTCCAGCCCAAGACTTTGAACTTATCATACACCTATCATGTCTGTAGAATCTAAAACTCAAACAAGGCCATGAAATGATTTCAAGCTAGCTATATCTTGAACTTGACTTACCTAAGCAACAAGGAACAATTACAACTGTTCTACAAGGAATTTGGATATGGGAAAACCTGGCATCAAGCTCCAACTGGTGGCTATCTAAAATGGATTTTTCCAGTGTGTATTAATTTTCAATAACAGTTCAGAATATGGCAAATTTCAGAACCTGGCATCAAGGTCCTTCTTATTTTCAATAACTGGTGGCTAAGATAAGCAAAAAAGACTGATCAGTACAATCAAACGCACACAAGCGATCTTATTCTCATCAGATTGATGTATATGGCAAATTTCACCAAAACTAACATCTTGTCAGCTACCAAAAATACAGATGAATTATTTTCAGCATTCTTTTAGAAATAAACAAGTTACCGGTTCTTCACTTCAGTACTTCGCATTGGAAGATAATCATCTAGAGTGATGGCTGCCAAGGGAAACTTCCCTCTGCCAGTCCTGCACAAGTATCCACCTGTATTAGCGTGTTGTGTTTGGAAGCAAGGATGATTGCAGAATGGTAGGTAAAATAAAAATTCATGGCAACTCGTAAATTGTATCGGAAGTACAGAGATACTGAAGAAGAGATGGACACGATGAATTCTCCCCATAGTGTTAGATTCATGCATCCTTGGACATGAATTCAAACTTTCGAAAATATACTATCAATTTCGTTTTTTTCGCTCATTTTGTTTTTCATAATCATCCCTTAGTATATCCTTTCAAAGGAAATGTACTATTGCCATTGGTTTGACCATATTTGACTGAACAAAAGATCAACAAATTTGATACAACTAAGATATCATCCATGGTGAGATGAAAAACAATCGATACTTGCAAGAAACAGAAACATGAAACGAGAAGAAGTCGCATTCAGGAAAAGACTAGATTGGGACGAGACCCGTGATACGTACACAGATTGAACGCCTGAAGGGGATCGCCGTGGCCGTGCAGCCACCGAGGGAGAAGAGGGGCTCGCCGTCGCTGCGCAGCCATTTGAGACAGGGGAGATCGTCCGCGCCGGGAGGAGATTCGTCGGCATCCGCGGCGAAATCATGGGGAATGGCCGGAGCACGGAGAGGGCGTGGTGGCTGGCTGGTGAGACTGGACTTCCAGTAGACGACGATGCCTGTGCGGCTGTGTAGCGGCGGCTAGGGTTCGTTCGAGACTTTGAGGTAACGTTACTGTCGGGCCTTGGGCTTCAAGGCGTCAGTTTAGGCCTTCCTCTCTTGGGCCTTAGGTCATCAGGCAGGTTTTCCTTCCGGCCCAATCGAAAATTTGAGCCCGACCAATATTGTTAAACTACTGGTTTCCGCCAAAAACAAAAAAAAAAAAGAGTGGGCAGAGGAGAGGATGATGGTGCACACGGTGGAGGAATGCCGGAAGTGCAACCAGATAGTACTGATTGACGGGTATAAGGCTAAACACAGCTAAACACCACGCTTGAACTATGGTTTTTTTCTGAATGAATTGGCAAACTCTTTTGTTTCTTTTTACTACTCAATCAATGCACGCACAAATGAATTGGTGAGGACTCATAATAGTGACGTCACAAACATCACGCTTGAACTATGGTTTTTTTTTAACAGTACAACACACATTTATACTTATGTTGTTGTGGCACTATGTTTTTTTTTTCCGTGAACAGGTATTTACCTAGTAAACCAAACTATCTAGGTCTGTGCATGTTAAGAATGATTGTGCAATCACCGATAGCCCAATCTAATGACAGAATTGACACGAGATAATGCTTGATGGGCGAGCAATCAAAGTACGGTTCAAAGGGTATAAACTATAATAAAACATTCAGTTACATATCCTTTATATATTAATCATCAGAGTCGCATAAAAATCCCCTGATAAAATAAGAGACCACTGATGCTAGCATGTCACTCAAAGATCGTCCTTGACTCCGATGTTCAGAAGTTTAGCCAGTTTTCCACTTTCGTAAGCGTCAACAGTATCTGCAATTTTTCAAGTAAACGTGAAAAGAAAGGTGTGAGCATTCAAAGGATGTTACAAAACTTCCGCTTTATCTGATTTGTGTACAGAACAAGGTACCGTCAGAGCCCCCCAGGTGTTTTCCATGGACAAAAACTTGAGAAACAGTGCGCCTGCCAACTATGTCACGTAAGGCATCCTGAATCTCAGAACCATCCTCTGCACGACAAAGGGAACACATTGTTCCATTGCGGAATCATCACAAACTGTCCCAGAATGCTCAAGGGCTAAAATCAACTTAAAGGATTGACAAGTGGAAATAATTGTTTGATTTGATACAATTGACCATTTTGCTTTCCCGAACATGCCTAAGCACGTATTTCATTAAGAGGGAGTAATTGACCATTTTGCTTTATTATGTAATAAAAATGGAATAAACAGATAGGAAGAACAAGGGTGCATCCTAAAGGCCTTTACTTCAATCTTTTCGGTCCTCCTGCTGATGTCTCCTGTCCTGTTTCCTCACTGATTTCGGTAGTTATATGTGGCTTTACTGATTTACTATACGTATCATGTCTTTCATTTATCATGAAACGTCTCTTATATCATTGACTAACTTGAATAGTGCAAATAAAACTTGGATGAGATGGGTCCAAAGAATCAACAATCCAGTAGTACAATGTTATATCAATTAAACCGTCATCCTCTGCCCATTATGTGCATACTCTCCACTGTCTTCACAGACAAGAGAGAGGAAGGATACATCGTATACTGGCCTGACACTAACCATACTGGCATTGTGGCAGCAGTGAATGTGCAGAAGAATTGTGAAATGGAAGAGAAAGGCTATGTGATCCTCAAGTTTGCTTATGTTTTTTTATTATTCACATTGACAGAGGCATGAAGAGGTATTTGCATTTGCTTATGGTTCAATGTAACTAACGTTATGACGCAAGAGACCCTTGAACACATTTGTGCATGCTTCATCAAGAAGTATTTGTGTTTGTTTATGGTTCTATGTAATTCACATTATGATGTGAGAGACACTTGAAGACATTTGTGCTTACCCACGAGCCTATAGGACATCTCCATGCAGAATGTCATTTAAGAATACTCCCACATGGAGACTCTACTTTTTTTCTTTTGGGGTTCAATATATTTATTATTCATATTTTCTAGTATCATTGACTATGCAATTGAAAAACAAATTATTCAATCTAGCTGTGCATTTGCAAAGACATACTGGCTGAAAACACTACGAAAGATGTATTTCAGAACTCTACCCCAGTTATTTCAATGAAATTGTGAAACTTCCTCTAGGCAAAAAAACATGACTGAAGTAGGGGGCGAGCACTCTAAAACAGTAAATTAGCGATACAAAAATGATGTAAACAGTAAATTAGCAATACGAAAATGATGTAAAGCAAACCTCGCTGATCAAGCTCCACAACATATGGCTCTTTCTTCAACTCAAGCTCCTTAAACACAGCCTTTGCTCTTTTGCAGTACCTGTAAATTTTAGTGCTCTCATAAGATAGAGTTTCTTATACCAGACAACAGACATGTAAAGTGCTCATAAGAGTATGTTCTTTGGTACAAGAACTACAACCACAAGGCAACATCTCCATACATTCACTGTTCAAATTCAAACGTTATCATTGTACATTTGCTGCTCTCAGGTCATCTCAGTATCTGACTATATCACTTATCAGTGCATTTTCTTAAAGTTATGTAGTCCCCCACAAAAGTTTGTGTTAATTAAACTTGATAAATATTTAGTTTAGCTTTTTGAACTGCGCCGCAAGAGATCTAGTGAGCTAATCAGGTGGACACAAGAGCCACCGCTAAGTTCACAAATCCAGAATTTAGGGCCTGTTTGGATCGGGGGATTTTCAAAGGAAATTCGTAGGAACCGGAAAACAGAGGAAAAGAAGTAGAAGTGAGTGTTTGGAACGGAGGATTCACGCAATCCCTTTCCTATGAAATGTTGTAGCTTGCTAGCTATTTCACATGAATCAAAAACTCCACTCGCATCCAAGGTTTTCTTTTCATGCGCGGAAGGTTGAGACAGCGCGTGTGAGGAGAGGAGGAAAAAACGAGTTGCAGTCAGTACTTATATTTGCCTAAATCTTATGATTCTTATGTTACGAATTCTTACGTTCCAAAAAGCCTAAATTTTCTATTCCTGTGTTTTAAAATCCCGTAGTTTTTCACTTTTTATCATACATTATTCCTACGTTTTGGCTCTGAAAGCTCGAGAGAATTGTTGCACTTTCTGCCAAGTACATTTCTCTTACACTTACACAGTGACATCAGAGTAAATTAAATCGCTAAAACATGGTCACCGCATAAAGGGCAGTAACTCACATGGTTGGTAGGATAGAACTGTGCTGGCCTTTTGCTAATTTGGTATAGGATCCAAGTTGTGGATTTCTGTACTACAGAAACCGGAATTCTACAGCTGGACATACCAAAAAAAAAACGAAGCATCCCTTCAGCTCTTCCAGTAATTTGGGTCAGACTTGCAGGATTTTTTTTTGCCGAGCAAACAGCCTTACAGAATAATAGACCCTATGCGCTAAAACAGACAATATTGAGCAAGCGAAAGGATAAAATCAGTGACAACTAATAGATAGAAACCAGATTTTCTAGAGCTACGAGCTAGATTGCTGCGACATCACAGCAATCGCACCCAGAATCCCCTTGTCGGTGTTTCGAGCTACCAACCAGTAAATTTTTAGTATTACGCGTCTGGCTCGGATGGTGTGCTTAGAGGACACGAGGTTTATACTGGTTCGGACAGAAAGTCCCTACGTCCAGTTCATCGCTGCTGCTCGTATTACTAGCACTGAAAGTTTGTAGTAGGGGTTACAAACGAGCAAAAGAAGGGCACGTCCTAAGTCTCTGATGTACGTGTGCTCCTAAGGCGTGTTAGGGCGTGTGTTTTGATGTCTACAACCGTGTAGAGTGGTGAACCGCCGTCCCCCCTCATAGAGCGTCCTGCTTCCCCTTTTATAGATGAAGGGGAAGAACATGTTACACAGAGAGAAAGAGGGAGAAGAGCCAAGGAGAGGAAGGGTTCCAGGACCGCCGGACCTTTCTTTTACTTTATGCGGGTCCCGCCGACACTATAGATGGTGATAGGGACGGCTCCACGCCGGACGCCTGTTCGCCGCTAATGCCACGCCCCAGCGTTGTCAGCGGATCGTGACGTCCCATTCCGTCCCGACAGGCGATGCGGCAAACCAGCGTGTTGGTCAGCGGCCATACAGGGAGTAGGCAGCATAGTGACCACGCGTCCGTCACTGTTGGTGATGTGAGTTCCCTGGAGTGACATGTCACGGGCACAGGTCATGTTGAGATGTGCCCGCTCCCTGCACGATGCCAGAAGTTTGACCTTGGATTGTACTTTCTGGCCCGTAGTGGTTGGCGGCGGTACGGGCTTCTGTCAGGAGCCGCGCCTGAGAGGTCGGGCGAGGCGGGGCCCCCGACCTAGAGGCTGGGCGAGGCAGGGCCCTCGACCCAGAGGTCGGGCGAGGCGGCGCCTGGCCCCAGAGGTCGGGCGAGGCGGAGCCCGCGCACCTGGGGTCGGTTGGAGCTGTAGTCGCGCTCTTGACTGCTCGGATGTATCAATATTGATGACAATTAGCTCCTCTTCAGGTACCCTAATATTGGTCCCCGACAGTAGCCCCCGAGCCTGCGGAGGAGTAGAATACTCCTTCGGAGGCTTTTCCGAACAGGAGGACTCTGAGGGCCTTGGTCTTCTTTTATCGCCCACGGCGTGTCCTGTGGACGGCGATTCCCTTTTGTCGTGATCGGACCCCTCGGGGGTATAGACGTGAGATTTAGTGGGTTGAAAAAGGTCTTTCCTGATTTCGACCCATATGGGGGTCTGTCGTTCTGCGACCGCGCGTTCAGTCTCCTTACGAGTCCAACTTTCCTTGAACCCCCGCCCATAGCAGGGGTTCGGTCGAGGGTCGGCTCGTCTTTGTAATCATCTTCCCTCAAGCGTTTTTTTTCGATAAAAACGGAGGAGCTGAGCCGTGCCATGATTTTTCTCTATGGACGAATCATGGTGCTCGGTGAGCTGTTAACGGGCTAGTCCGAGTGGGGCCC